TAAAATATAATAAATGCTTATTTTTCATATTTCTGAAATTTAAGAAAAGGATTCACAAGTAAAAGTGCTAATACAACAACTAGTCCATTGCTAATGCAGGCCAGTGTATTTCATATTTTAATGTCCAATTGTACTAACAACTAGAGATTCAAATGAGAGGCCAGGTTTGAGCTTCAGTGGAACATGATATGTAAGTTTGCTTAATCTTCTTAAAAAAAAATTAGAGGATAGAAAAGTCCAAATTGTACAACGTAGATCGATGACAAACATGGCAAACACTAATCAGGCCCAGCACTAATAGGGCCCAGTCACCCAGTCGTCAAATACGGAGTAACAAAAAGAGGACGAAAAAGGGTATTGAATAAATTGGGCTGAATGACAATGACACAGTACAGTAATTTGTCCAAATCTTCTATATTTCATTGGAATCATCAAATGTACGCACATTAGTTCCTTTGGTTTTAACCGCTTATTTCCATAACATTATTTTTTTACTTTCTTGCTCTTTTACCTGTTGACAATGGATAACGATGAGAATTAATTTTAAGAAAACTCAGATTGAGATGTGAACGAAATTTGACTCAGTTCTAATTATAATTATATATTAAATAGAGGATGGTATAAAAATATATATGTGTCTGATTCTCGATTTAATGGTACTGCATTTTGATATAATATGTTACGTTTGTGTTAATTCTCGAAGTAAATGTGTTACATGAATGTTTACATCGTTATTTTATAAGTATTGTGTGTTCGATGTAATTGTGTGTCGTATCCCCGATTTAAATTCCATTAGACAAAATCCTCATTTCTTGTGTCTATGAATATTATGTCACTCCCCACATATAACAGGTTACGTCACACTGGAACATTAAATTTTTGAGGAAGACATTTACATGGCATGAGTGGAGTGTATTTTTAGAGGCTTTCACATTTATACATGAGTTTTGAGTGGATTGAAAATTTTTACAATATTGAAGAGCTTTATAGACTGCAAAGAATATTTTAGAAGTGCAGTGAATTTTGTTGAATTTTTAAATATATATGAGATTTATGTGATTATATATGATGTCTATAAACATGTGAGGATGTTATTTATTTTTAACAAAAAAAAAAGGAAAAAGACTTCAACAAGTAGAAGTTGCAAGAGTGAACGAACAGAGGGCTTTCAAACCACAGTCGACCAAGCCACTGTGGACACTGTAGTGGTTGGGCTGTGCACACCATTGTAATTATAAGGAATATAAAGACAAGATAGATGAATGCAGTGATTGTTGCATGCGTCAGTTATTAAACTCACGACTTGGTTAGCAAAGGCAAACAAATTGTTGGCTGAGTGTTGGTAGCATTAATGAGTCACCAGTGATGGGTAAACTGTTGAATAATTGTTTTATGTCTTCTTTTAATATCTTAGGTGTGCTTAGGTGGTGTTTACGTGTATGTTTGTTTTTAATCGTAATTAAATATAATCATTCAATATTGTATTAATAAATGAGACATGGTTTAATGAAAGCCATAAATGTAGGTTTAGATTCCTTGATTGTAAATTGTTAAATGAATGTATAATTATTTTGGGTTTGTTTCATTATTTAATTGTACTGCATACCATTACTGATCCAATTGATTTTTGTTATGTTTTTATTTGTTGTCTTGAACAACACTACTATTCAGGAAGTATATGAGATGCCCGGTTGAATTTTAAACCATCAATGTGTTGCTTATTTAAAGAGCTAAAATTTGATTTTATAAATTCTGTTATGTCGTAGAATTTGAAAAAAAAAAAAAAAAAAAAACTTACTTTTGCCTGTTTGCAAGATTTGACACCATTGTTCTTTTGAGTTTTCCAAGCATTGTTGAGTTGTTAAAATTATTATTATTATTATTTTTTGTGATTGTACTGGCTTTTTTTCATTTAATGGTTTGCGATTCCATGGCAATGAGTTTTTATGGCATAATTTATTTTCATGTGTACTAATATATTGTTGATTTATGGAATTTTATAGATATTGATCACTCAAGGGCACTATTATAGATATATGGGTACCAAAAATTGCTTGACCCGCCCCCAAATAGAGCATCACAAAAGGCACCATTGAAACTTATTTGGGTTTTTGAAATATAGTCTCCTGGAATTCCTACATTTTTCTTTTTGGGTGACATTTTAAGCAATTACATTTTGTTCGTTTTTGTCAAATTGAACAAGTCATCTTCAATTGCTTGAAAAAAGTAACAGATATCCAAATGCATTTTAAGTAATTTCATTTTTCTTTTTGGGTGACAATTTCACGTGAAATGCAACATTTGAAAATATCTGGTTACTTTTAAACACAATCTCTTTCTATAGTACTTCTAAATGTGTCATTACTCCTGTTGTGAGTCATAATTTCTAATGTGGATAATTATTTTGGAACTGGAAGAGTGCTTCTTTTAACTCAACCCTTGGGTTATTATTTTGATTCTTTTAAAATGTTTTTTTTTATAAAATATTTTTATGTAAAATGTTAATTTTTTTATTTTTTATTTTTCGGTATTTGGCAACTGCTGTAAAATATTTTTTAGATCAACTTTTATGCACAATTAATTCACACTTTCTTCGGTGCTTTTCACCAACCGAGAATAATACCCACAATTAAACCCCCTCTCTTTCCATATTACTTTCTCCGTCTACACTAAACAATCCCTCCCTCTCATTCTTGTTACTTTCTTCCCATGGGCAGTCAGAAATTAAATCAAGAGGGCACAGTGTAAAATAATAATAATTAATAAACATGACAATGACAATAAATATAGATTCTTCAAATCAAGAGGCAAAGAAGAAAAATTACTAAAAATAATAGTCGTTTAAGAAAGATAAATTGTTAACAATAATTTTAAAAAGAAAAGAAAAAGGAGAGAACTTTGAAAGGGAAAATAATTGAATTTTGATTCAAAAAGGAAAATTTAACCTTTTTTAATGAAATTAAACGAATTTAAAGAGTAACAAAGAGAAGAAATACAAAATTTAAAAGATAATTTTAGAAAATAAAAATTTTAGGAGGTCATTATATGAATTTTTTCATATATACATATAAAAATACATAAATTTAATAGGACAATACTTAAGTCCTTACTAGTGAGAATCTATCTTTAATTTGATAATTAAATATCATATGTCAATTTATTATTGATCCACATCAACAATGAGTATGTTGTAGATTCTCACTAGTGAGGACTTAAATATTGTCCAATTTAATATATGTATTATATTAAGCGGGGTTAGGCCAGGCCAGGCCATGTGCCCCCGGGCATATATTGGCTCTGCCCTGGTTTCTCTCTCTACTTTTGCACTAAAAAGTACTCTCGACCCAAATACGTTCCTTGACCAACTCAATTTTGTATCCCTCTTTTTTTCTCTCTTTATTTCTTCTCTCACTTTATGTATACATATAGAGAGAAAACTGAAAATTAGATTTTTAGATTGGGAGGACTGAAAAAGATTAGTTGTTAGATAGATATAGGGATTCAATAAAAATACGGAAGGTTAGATGACCAAAGATAACCCAGAGGTCTGAATCGCTATGCGAGTTCTTACTACAAACAAAATTTTTAATTTTTTTTATTGTGTATAATTAAAAAATTAATATCATAAATTAATTAATTTAGGGTCCGCACCCCACTTTTTAATTTTTGCACTACAATCTTAAATCAAATAACAATTCTAACCCTAACTTTAGAAGTAATATTTATTACTTTTTAAATAACACAATTGCCCATTTAGATTTTCTCTCATTCTCTCTAATCTTTAATATTTTAGGTATCTTTTCACAAGACAAAAAAAAGAAAAACTTAGAATTTTTTTTAGTAGACCAAAAAAAATAATTATGTTGAATAAATTGCCTCTTTTGACTGGACCAAAAAAATAAAAAAATAACCATTGAAAAAATTATCTCTTAATATATATTTATCGAAAAAATTATCTCTTTTATCAAGATCCAAAAAAAAGTATGAAAAGAAGAGGATTAAAAAAAATAATAATCTCTATTGAAAAAATAATTTCTTTTGATATGACAAAAAAAAAAAAAAAAAAAAGGAATTTTTTTTGTAGAATAAATTATTTCTTTTGACGGGACCATAAAAAATTGCCAAAAAAAAGTAGTTACCTCTTTTGACCAAATTGAAAAAAAGTAAACTTTGTTGAATAAATATCCCTTTCGAGTGCCAAAAATAAATTACTTTATTTGAGAGGACCTCCGAAAAAAATCAAATAGAAAGGAAAAAAATAATAATAAAGAAAGTAAAGAAGATAAAAAAATTAAAAATTAAAATTGTATAAAGGGTAATTATGACATTATATATGAAGGGATAGTACTTCAATGAATTTAAGGACGTTCTTGTTATTTAAAAAAAAAAATAGTAAAAGAAGTGCAATTGGAGAAAAATGAAGTGCCAATATCGCCTCTTTTAATTTATTGTGTATAATTAATTATTTATGGTGTATAATTAATATATTAGCCTAAATCTTAATTTATTGTGTATTAATTATTTTAAAAATCAATATCATAAATTATCTTTTTAATTTTTGGAAAATGTACATTTAGTTGTAGAATATCTTTATGTATATAGTAAAAAATCCAAATTAAAACTGATTCGAGGTTAATCCAATTTATAGTTCAACACTTTAACTTATGTAATTCCAACTTTAACCCAAGTTAAAAAAAAATGAAAATGAGTTTTAAAAATTTTCAATTTGAAGGTTTGAACTCGAATTATCACAACCCAACTACCGTTTTGTTGTATAGGAATTCACATTGAAATTGTGCATAATTCCTCCACAGAATATCATGCAATCAGAGACCACACAGTACGAGTGATTAGACATTTTTTTAGTTGCGTATGCGTGTTGTTCTACTGTTGAGCCTTCGCAGCCCCAACTGAAGCACATGTGCGAAGAGTTATGTTTCTCATGAACAAAAAAAAGGTTCGCACCCATTTTGGCACGGACATTTTGACCCAAATTAGCATAACCTTCCCACGGACCACAACGTGCCTTTGACGTGTAGCCTTCTTCTATTCCTTCCTTCCTCTTCTGACTTCTCTCCCATTCACAACAATACTTCTCCTCTCCTCTCCTCTCCTCTCCTCTCCTCTCTTCTCTGTACACAGTTATACACACATATATGTATATGTGTACACATTGATATATTCATTTTTTTTCAATCTCTACCATACAATTCACAAAGCCCATCTCCTATTTTTTGCCGCCAGTTCTTGAATTATCACTACAGACTCAAACAATTATAAACCCATATTTCAATGGAAATTTCATCATCATGTTCCTCACCCTTATCAGTTCATTCCATTATCGATTCCACCGCTCCACCTCGCCGCCGTGTTTCCGCCAAATTCGATCACGGCCATGGTCGCCGGAGAACCCGGAAGATCCTTTCCCTCTACCCAAATAGCCCTTTTTCTTCTTCTCTTATTGCAACAACTACCAGTACTAGTTCTGCTTCTGCTTCTTGTTGTAGTAGTTCTTCTTATTATTCTTATTTTGGGGTTTCAATCAAACACAGTAAACCCTTCAATTCCCTTTCCGTGCCTTCGTCTCGAAAGCCCATAATCTCTGCTGTGTTCGAGCGGTTCACGGAGAGAGCAATCAAGGCTGTGATGTTTTCTCAAAGAGAAGCCAATGCTTTGGGCAAAGATATGGTATTTACTCAGCACCTGTTATTGGGTTTGATTGCCGAGGATCGAGCTCCAAATGGGTTTTTAGATTCCGGCATCACCATTGACGCGGCGCGTGATGCAGTTTCCAGTATTTGGCATGATAATGATAATGGTGATCAGGATTCAGAAACGTCTGAGGTTGCTTCTTCTTCGATCACCTCTGCCAGTGATGTGCCGTTCTCTATTAGCACAAAACGGGTGTTTGAAGCTGCTGTGGAGTATTCTAAGACTATGGGCTACAATTTCATTGCGCCGGAGCACATTGCCATTGGTCTTTTCACTGTCGATGATGGCAGTGCAGGTCGGGTCCTCAAGAGGTACATTGTGCTTTTTTGCCTTCATGATTCTGTTTGTTGTGTTTGTATGCCTTTATTCTCTCTCAATTGCAGTGTTTCATGATCATTTCTAACTTTTGGCAACACAGCAATGTGTCATTTGTTAATTTTTTATAATGTTCAATTGCTTCCTATTGATATTCTGATAGTATGAGATGACAATTTGATTATGAATGATGGAAAACTGGTCTTAGGGAATGGGTGTATGATTTTCCGTTTATGTATGATGCATATGACTGTATTGAGTGACTAAATATATTTATTCCTCTCAAACGGTTGTTTAGTTATGCCTGCCCAGCTAGATATTGATAGCTAAAATGGCAGGAATGGCTGTTTAATTACCTACTGAAATTAATTTTGTTCAATTTATGCTTGTCACCAATACTTTGAACTGATAAAATGGCTATTTTTAAAAAGTAGGACTTGGATATGGCTAGGATACAATAATATATATATATATATATAGTATATTCTTAATATTGATATGTACAAGAATCAAAACATATGCATGCAATCTTGGACTTGTTGTTATGAACTGTCACTAAACTAAAAAGGAAAGAAGAGAAGGAACTGGGAGTTGGCGCCTACACAACTGGTTATCGTGAACAAGGGCGTTCTAGTGTTTAGGTCTAAAATAATACAGTATTTAATAGTTTGCCCTGTTATATATATATTGCTGCTAACGTTTCCTTTTAAAAATTTTGATAAACAAATTGAGAGCTGAGAGTGATATTGCATGGATAATTTAGGACTAAATTAGTGATGAAATATTGTCATTGTATCTCCATTATTCTTTTTGAAGAAATGCTAAGCTTTTCGTAACAATTTTACCATGATGTTATACTTGAATTAGTTTCAGTGCAATGTTGAAGACTTGTTAAATTTATGTCTCGACGTATAAGATACGTGGTTGAGGAATCTGAGAAGTATTGGACACTTATTAGAAATAATAAAAAATACTTTTAAGAATATCTGATACGTATCCGCGAGTATCCGAGGAGTGTCGATATTTGGCACAGACATGATAGGTGTACGTTCCCGTTATAGAAGTACTCGTGCTTCATAGCTACATGATTATGAATGATGAGAAGATGGTCTTAGAAAATGGATTTATTTTAACTGCCTAAAAGTATTGTTTCCTTATCCTTGACTAGTTTGCAGGGGTAGATCGTGAAGCGTAAAACAGCACAAATGGTTTATCTTTTGGTGTGGGGCAAGCACGTCAGCGCTCTCCCACAAGCTCAACTATGAAAATTATGCACTCATGACACGTTCAATACTCCAATTGATTTAGGATAGCATTGTTTAAAGTTGGGCTTTAATATGTCAAAGAAAGTTTGTGAGCCTTATAGACAGAAGCGGTTGATATTGGCTTGGGTTGCAGAGATTGATAGAAAAACAGGAACAATGGGTAGCCCATGACAGTGGCTCTGGTTATTTTGTGGTTTTGGGTGAGGCCTTCGATGGAAAGGATTGGCGTCGCAGAGTAGGATTTTCAGGGGTAGAAGAGTTGGACTCTGAGCAGTACCAATGAATAGTAATTAGGGATTGGCTGTGTTAGTTTTGTGTGCTAGGCTGGCTAATCAAAGTAGGCACTAATTTAAGGTTATCAAATATGATTTTGAGGGTTTATTCAGATCTATTTGTGGGGTTCTAAAGAGTTGCAAACTGCAAAAAAGTAGAGGAATTAAGATGAAAGGTTGATGAGGAATTAGTTAGGCATCACACATATATTCCCGCAGGCACTACATTAATGGTTAGGAATTTAGAATGCATCACATAATCATTTAAAAAGCTTCTGAAAGTTATGTAGACTTGTTCTTCATTGAATTGAAAGAGTGGATATTTATAATCATCCAAAAAAAAGAAAGAGTGGACATGTATACAAGATGCTGACGTGTTATACTCCTACATGAACTGTCTCAAAAATTGCAGGCTCAGGATTTTGACTCTAAAACCTACCTAAACCAACATAAAAGAAACATAACATACCTTGACCTAAATGACACTCATGGAAACCTGTTACAGTTTATGATCAACAAATGTGAAATTACCAAATACCTTGGACTCCTAAAGTATTAGAAAACGTTTACAACTAACGAACAAAAATCCTGACTTAAAATAAATATTAATTAGGATTTTTCACAAGTGATAAACCAAGGTCCCAAGTGGGCACTATCTTGAAACAGAACCAAGTCCTAAATATTTCTCTTCCTTTAAATTTGCTCTTTTGTAAGCTTCTTATGGATTGCACGAATCATCTTCCCCCCTCCCTCCCTCCCTCCTCTCTCTCTCTCTCTCTCTCTCTATCTGATCACCTAAAGAAAATATGTGATTGCATTTCTCTTGGAACTCATCACCTGATTTTGATTGGAGGTTTTGGCTGATATCCATGCTTGTCATGAGTTTCAGAACCTCATAAGCCAGAAGAACGTGTTTTATCTCATGTCTATGTTGTTTCAGAATAAAGGATTTGGTTGCAAAGATATACTAATATCACGGAATAATAAATTGTGCGGTCTTCTGAATGCATGTAAGGCGCTTGCAATAGTCTTTTACTTGAAGAAAACTTTTAATTTTATTTATTGGACTATTGCCAAAACTATGATTACTCTTTAATAGTATGGAAAATATGAAATGTTGAAGAATAATATAATTAGAATTTTTATAAAAGATTTTTCTTGTGATTTAGGATTACTGCAGAACACTCTTATATAGGGAATCTCTCTAATAAATAAATCTCAACTTCCATAGTTCCATTCCAATCCTTTCTTATCAATGTTGTTTGTTAATATATCAAATCAGATATACATCTTTCATGGTCAATAAATTCCAAGTGAATTGGGGTCTAAGTTAATGTATATATTGTCCATTTTCCATTCATGGGGCTAGATTATTATGATTACAGATTAGGGGCAAATGTCAATCACTTGGCAGCTGTGGCAGTCTCCAGACTTCAAGGAGAGCTTGCCAAAGATGGTAGAGAATTACCTGCTGTATCCAAACGGACACGTGAAAAATCCTTTCCTGGAAAAGCCAGTGTTGTCAGATCCTCTGGAAAAGCAAGAGGTAGGAATACAGTTTTTCTCATTTTTCTACCTTTCATTTGTTAATTCATTTCAATTTACAAGAATGGAGAGGGACGCTTAGTAGTTCATTGTTTATGTCAGAGAATAATGCTTTGGCTCGATTCTGTGTGGATCTCACCGCTCGTGCTAGTGATGGACTCATTGATCCTGTAATTGGTCGAGACACTGAGGTACAGAGAATTGTTCAGATACTTTGCCGGAGAACTAAAAATAATCCCATTCTCCTTGGTGAAGCTGGGGTTGGGAAAACGGCCATTGCTGAAGGGTTGGCGATTAATATTGCACAAGGAAATGTCCCTGTTTTTCTCTTGGTGGGTTTCTTCCTTCATGAATGATTCATGTTAATATAAGTGATGCAATTTGTTGGATTAATTCATATTGCATATACTTTTAGTTCTCTGGTGACCATTCTATGCTACCAATTTAATTAGCTTTACTGTTTCTTGCACAGACAAAATGCATAATGTCCCTAGATATAGGTCTATTAATGGCAGGCTCAAAGGAGAGGGGAGAGCTAGAGGAACGCGTTACTACATTAATTAAGGACATAAAAAAGTCAGGTAAGCACATTTTTGGAGTTATGTGTAGCATCAGAATTGTTGAAATCATGGCTTAGCTTGATGCGATAACATTGCAGGCAATATTATTCTTTTTATTGATGAAGTCCATACACTAATTGGGTCGGGCACAGTTGGACGAGGGAACAAGGGGTCTGGTCTTGATATTGCTAATCTATTGAAGCCGCCACTCGGGAGGGGTGAATTACAGGTGATGGTCTCTAATATTGTGTGTGTATATTGCTATGTAATTGTATATACAGTTATTGATGCACATGAGATGTAGAAATCAGTTTTATATAATGCTAAAGAACCTGAAATGGTGCACTTATTGGAAGCCATTATATTGAAAGATGGTTAAACTTGGTTGGAAGCCAAGTTTAATGGCTGTAATGAGCTGGTCCTTGCTAACAACAGGATCACGGTGGTTTCCTGACCTATGGGATTGAGGTCATGCCTGAACTAAAGCATTTTCGAACCCTAGGCCAGTAGACTGAACCACGTACTGCTTCATTGCCATCTACCTAACTATTTGGTTGATCAAAAGACAAATGAAGAAATCTGACACATCATTTATGATGTTTCAAATGTGTAGGACGTTGGCACGAATGCAGGCTCTTAATGTTGGTATTCAGAAACTGAACTTAAAATTTTCCATTTTCTCTTGTCTTTAGAAAGATCTCTTCAAGGATTTAAGAAATATATTGTAGAGGGGAATGCCGAACATCTTGATCACCATAGACTTGTCTTATCAAAGTTTCAAGATGAAATTTGAAGATATGAATTTTGGTGGTGGAATGAATAAGTCCAAAATATTGTAAAAACAAAGCAGGAATGCTATAAAGTTTGTTTTAAACTAAAAATAACGAAACCTTTTAAAAATACAAAAATGTAAATAAAAAAGTTAAGAAAGTAGTAAGTGAAGCTAAGCGAAGCAAAACATAGAGCATATAATGATCTTTATTCTAAACTAGGCACAAAAGATGGAGAGAAGAATATATAAACTTGCTAAATTAGGAAAGAGAAAAACTAGAGGCTTTAGCCATATTAAATGCATTAAGAGTGAAGATTAAAGGGTTTTAGTAAAAGATGATGAAATTAAATAAAGATGGAAAAGTTATTTTGAGAAATTGTTTAATGAAAATCATATAGGAAGTTTAAGCTTAAAAGAATATAGTAACTTTAGGGATAACGTATTTTTTCATAGGTCAAGGAGTGTGAGGTTAGAAATGCCAAAGGAAGATGAAATTAGAAAGGGCTTTAGGGCCTCGATGGCATTTCTATTGAGGCTTGGAAGTGTCTATGGGAGGATGGCTTGTCTTGGTTAACAAAATTGTTTAATATGATAGTAACAACTAAGAGAATGCTTAATGAGTGGCACACAAAAGTATTTTAATGCCTATATATTAAAATAAAGGGGAGATGCAAAGTTGTAATAATTATCGTGGTATTAAACTAATGAGTAATATATGAAACTGTGGGAGAGAGTGATTGAACAATGGCTAACATGAGAGTTGAAGTGTCGGAAAATCAATTTGGATTCATGTCGTCAGGATGGTCAACGATCGGGGCTATTTACTTATTGAAGAAACCAATGGAAAGAAGAAGAAAGATCTCCATATGTTTTTTTTTTTAATTTATTTAGAGAAAGCCTATGATAGGGTAGCTAGAGATTTAATAAGGAGGGTTTTAGAAAAAAGTCACAAAGGGATATTTTGACACAACAAAGGAAATGTACGATGGTTGTGAGATTATAGTTGGCACAACGGTAAGGGAAACAAGTGAATTTTCAATTATTGTAAGCTTACATCAAGGGTCAGCATTAAGGCCATACCTTTTTGTGTTGGGTTATGGATAAGTTGATAAGACACGTTCAAGTTGAGATTCGATGGTTTATGTTATTTGCTGATGATATTCTTTTAATCAACGAGACTAGAGATGGAGTAAATGCCACATTGGAGGTTTTGAGGGAAGCTCTGGAATTAAATGGGTTGAAGATAAGTAGAAATAAAACTGAATTTATGGTGTGTAAGTTTAGTAATTATAGAAATACAAATGAGAGTGCAGTGAGTATTGAGAATCAAAAGGTACAAAAAAGTGAACATTTTCGTTATTTTAGGCTTAATTATTCATAACGAAGGAGAAATTGGAGATTATGTTAATTATAGAATTAAGGCAGGATGAGTTAAATGGAGGAGATCGGCGTTTCACCATAAGATTGAAAGGGAAGTTTTATGGAATAGCTATTAGCTCCGTATTTTATGGATAGAATGTTGTGCAACTAGGAAACGACATATGCATAAATTGAGTATGGTGGAACTGTGAATGTTGAGATGGATTTGCTGTAAGACTAAGGATAGAATTAGAAATGATTACATTTGTGAGATGGTTGGAGTAGCACCAATTGGAGATAAAACAAGAGGAAATCGGTTAAGATGGTTTGGACATGTGCAAAGAAGACCTTCAAGTGTGCGAGTTTGGAATAGTGAGTGTCCACATTGAGGGTAATACTAGGGGAAGAGGAAGACCAAATTTAATAAGAGTAGAGTTAGTAAGGAAGGATATGATGACATGTGATTTGACTGAGGCCATGGCTTTTGATAGAGCAGAATGGAAACATAAGATTTATGTAACCGACTCCAAGTAGTTGGGAAAAAGGCTTTGGTCGTTTTTGTTGTAAGTTGAAGATGTGTACTTTACAAGTAAAAATTAAAGGGTTTAAGCCCCACAGACCTTGGCTTTTACAAGAAAAACATTGTAATGAAGATGCTGAGAGTGATAAAAAATACATACAAAAAAAGAGAGGTTAAGTCACAAATAAATAAAATATTCACAAGTAAGAACCCACTACGCTAATTGAATCACTAAGTTTATTGCCTCAGCTCATACAGTAAAGTGAAACTGTTAAGATTTTTACTTTTAGGGGAAAGCGCTGGATGATCCTTGCTTTGATGAATTTGATCTTTGCTTAATTTGAAATCTAAACAACTAATCATAGATCAAGCATTTGATGCAAGACTTTCTATCATACATATTAAATGTTTAATAACATTTGCACCATATATCTTGATTTTTTTTTTTTTTTTAAGTTTTTATGAAATATATTCCTTTCCTTTTTTCTTTCTTCGTTTTTTTGGGGGGTGGGGTGGTAAGACAGACAAATGCATGCAACCACAATTGCTCCCTTGTGAAATGTTTTTCTTGGTGGTAAAATATATTTAATCTGAATTAGAAAGCAATGCTGCTGGTTATTGTGTGTTTGGAGTATAAATTATTTTGAACGTATTGTTAGAATCAAATCAGAAGAACAAGATTTGAATAGGCATTGTAAAGATACTGTCTTACTCCAAATTAGCAAAAGAAAAAAAAAATTGCAGATTATATCTTGTTGTGTCAACAATATATTGATAACACGATCAATGTGGGTTTGTAAGTGAGAAATTAGGTGTGCTGTAAATATTGGTTTTATCAAAGGGAAAATCAATATGTTGATAGACATTTAAAACATTGAACAGCCTCTTTGCTTCATTTTTCTTTCCTGATTTTGTTATTGACTTGAAAATACTTTTCCCTTTTTCCTGAATAGTTTACACTATATATTTTTTTCTTGTTCTCTTAAGCAATTTTCCTCATTCTTGGAATACATCTATCAAATCTTAAACAGAATGTTTATTTCCAGGTTCTCAGCTCACTTTCAAATTTGTCTCTCTCTATTAGTTTTTGAAGTTTTAGAATTCTGTAAGTACTGCTACCGTCATTGGGAGGGTTTTTGTTACTGGAGTGATACACTGCCTCTCATGCTATTGGCAGAAAGCATCTTCTTTGTTTTTCTCTTTCCTTTTTCTATTCTTAGTTTGAGGCTTACATGTGTATATCATGTTATAATGACTATTTGTGCTCCTTAAATGAGGTCTGCTTTTTTTTTTTTTCTTTCCCCCAAGTTCTTTTCATGTGTTTCACTAACATTCCAGTTGTTGCAGTGCATTGGGTCAACAACTCTGGATGAATACAGGACACATTTTGAGAAGGATAAAGCATTAGCACGAAGATTCCAGCCTGTGTTGATTAATGAACCAAGCCAGGTAATGTTATTTAAAAAATTTCTTTAAAGTTTGTTTATATGTTACTGTTGTATTCTAATAAATATCAACTTTGCATTAAATTCCACAGGAGGATGCAGTTAGGATACTGTTGGGTCTGCGTGAGAAATATGAGGCCCATCACAAATGCATATACACATTGGAAGCCATAAATGCTGCTGTGCATCTGTCAGCAAGATACATTCCTGATAGGTATCTTCCTGACAAAGCTATTGATCTCATTGATGAGGCGGGAAGTAAAGTTCGCATGGAAGCCTACAAGAGGAGAAAGCAACAAGAGACTTGTATACTTTCAAAGTCACCAGATGATTATTGGCAAGAGATTAGAGCTGTTCATGCCATGCATGAAGTGGTATTAGCAGTTCTTCTTGATGCTACATTTCGGATTTGCTAATATTATCAACTGTTTTAGATGTTCTAATAGGCATGACTTCCATATCTTATGCATACACAGGTCCTAGAAAGAAAAGTAAATAAAAGTGACAGTGATAGTTCTTCTAGAGTGGAAGATGGTAATAAACTCATCCTGGAAGACTCTCTGCCATCCAAATTTGATGATAATGAGTATGATTATTGGCCTTTGAATTGTGTATATACCGTGGTTGAGTTGTCCTGGTTCTAATTGATCTCAATTTGATTATTTTACAGATCAGCTGTGGTTGGACCTGGTGAAATAGCAGCAGTTGCTTCACTCTGGTCTGGGATTCCAGTTGAGCAGCTCACTGCTGATGAAAGAATGCAACTGGTCGGTCTTGATGAGCAGCTTAGAAAACGGGTTGTTGGTCAAGATGAGGCTGTTGCTGCGATTTCTCGTGCTGTTAAGAGATCTCGGGTTGGCTTGAAGGACCCTAATAGGCCAATTGCAGCAATGCTTTTCTGTGGCCCAACTGGGGTTGGCAAAACTGAACTAGCAAAAGCTTTGGCGACATGCTATTTTGGTTCGGTAAGACTTCTTTGCAACAATTTCTGTGTTTTTTCCCCTTCATAAAATTCTTTTAAAAGTGGTATCCGCCAAATAGCTTATAGTGAAATTAGATCTTTTAACTAAACATTAAATGACTGACCCACGTAATTGGATTCTATAGATTACCTTGAGAACTGAATTTGAAGTTGTGAATCACGCAAAGGAAAATTTATCTGGAGTTAACATTATTATTTTATTTGTACAGCTTTTTGGAAGAATTTACTGGATTCCCCCTTATCAAGTACCTTTGTCGCCTGATATTGGTCATACCTTTATTAATACATCTAATAAAGTATTCATTTATTTTTTCCTATATAAAGACCTGCACTTGGTGATGACTCTAATGAATAAAGACCTTTAGAATGCCACATTGGTTTGCATCCCATCATTGTGTTTCACTTAATTATCAAAATATGCATATGAGTTCTTTTGCATATCAAATGCTTATTATAGTATCCTTAATGTTTCATTGCAGGAGACAGCCATGCTAAGACTGGACATGAGTGAATATATGGAACGGCATACTGTGAGCAAGTTAATAGGATCACCCCCAGGTTATGTAGGCTTTGGAGAGGGAGGCACCCTTACAGAAGCTATCCGAAAGCGACCTTTCACGGTGGTATTGCTTGATGAAATAGAAAAAGCCCATCCAGACATATTCAACATTCTTCTCCAATTGTTTGAAGATGGTCACCTAACAGATTCTCAGGTTTGTGGCTATTGTGACTCACTTTTACTTGAATATTCTTCTTTACTTGATTGATTTGTAATTTACTCTTGAATATCAAGATTCCTGATTCAATGAGATTTGGTTCAACAGGGTAGGAGAGTATCATTTAAGAATGCATTGGTAGTGATGACGTCTAATGTGGGATCTACTGCCATCATAAAGGGTAGGCACAACTCCATCGGCTTTTTGCTTGCAAGAGATGAATCAACTTCATATGCTGGAATGAAAGCACTGATAATGGAAGAACTGAAGGGGTACTTTCGTCCAGAGTTACTCAACAGAATAGATGAAATAGTTGTCTTTCATCCTCTTGAGAAGACTCAGGTTTGTCTCCTATTGAGATTTTTTATTATTTTTATAAGTCACTCACGAACCCATTGTCCTGTTGAGGATTCAAACCCTCAACCTAAAGGGGGAGGCTAAACCATTGGTGTTCCTTAAACCTTGATGAGTCCGTTGCATTAGTTTATATTAACATTTGACTTGAATTTTCATTCATTTCAGATGTTCGAAATATTAAATATAATGGTGCAAGAGGTTAAGCAAAGGACCCTATCACTGGGATTACATCTGGAGGTATCTGAAGCAATCTTGAACCTCATATGCCAACAAGGGTTTGACAGGAGTTATGGTGCTCGGCCTCTTAGGCGGGCAGTCACCCTCATAATTGAAAATGTCTTGAGTGAAGCACTTCTTTCTGGAGATTACAAGTCTGGCGATACTGCTTTTATTGATTTAGATCATTCAGGAAACCCAGTTGTTACTAAATCAAGGGGGAATATCTACTTCTTCTCTGATACGACATCTGCCTTGTAACTGTAAATAATAACTATTCCAATTCATGCTGTAAATCCATTCTGTATATCTGATTAAATTTTATTTAGTCTAGGTGATTGATTGATCCACGTATAAAGGAATAATAAAATACCAGTTTAGAATTCTTTGGACGATTGGATAATTTTGATGAATTTGGGTTTTCTCATTTCTGTGTCAGCAGTTTACATTTCTGGGTTGGTGTTACTGTCGAAAATATGCGGATATTTCTGCCATTACCAACATTAACTTGTGGTATTGCAAAAGTAGGCTTGAATGTTGATAATATGGTTCATTGATTGCCCTGTTGGTGCCAGTTTTTTTACCAGACATTATTCATTAGGACAGTTAATTTACTTCATGTGTATCATTTGTTGCATATACACATCCAGCACAAAATGGACAAGATTGACAATGTGTCCCAACTCCTTGGTTGCTAATCAAAGAATCACTAATACATAATTGAATTTCTCCATTCATTTAATAGAGACCAAAAGGAATTTATTTGAAAGATAAAATATATGTGATTGAAGATGCATGTGGGCAGTAAAATTTGTCTCTACAAGTCTTATTTAAATGGAAAATTCCATTTTATCCAACAGGAGTGCATGGGCAGTAAAATTTCTTCCCCATTCTCTCAGATTGCAACAGTTTCTGTGACCATTTCTTATCTACAGATAAAAAGTATTTTCAATTGATTTTGCTCTTCTATTATTGCTTTTCAAGTGAAAGTTCTAATTATGAAACTGCTAGTGCGCCAAAGCAGCAGGACAAAAGTGACGACGTTGATTGTTTAGCTAAATTTTGACAGCATCAAAGTTATAAAATTATTATCCTTTAAGTTCACACAACCTTCCCGTGAAAAAATAATAATAATAAAAATAAAAATAAAAATTAAATTATGAAAAAGTTAGGTGGTTAATAAAAATTACTTTGCCCCAAATTTTCTTTTTCTTGTTATCAGAACTCCCAATGTTTAAAAAAATTGCATTACGTTCACTTTTCATTATTTTCTATCAAGCAAACAAGAACTCCAAACACGCACTCAACCCGACAACTCCATTCTATATATATATATATATATATATATATATATATTTAAAAAAAAAAATCCCAACTATTTGAGAGATACAAAATTTACAAAACACAAGATACAAATGGTATTCTTTTGGTAATTACAAAATATGAAATATACAATAAGGTCTGATCATACAAAGAGTTGGGCCTCTTCGAGTGGATCAAAATCGTCTCTAGCGCTACAGTCATCCTGTCCAAGTCAGTGAACATAGCTTGAGCCATGTCGCTGCCCAAACAAGTCAGAAAAAAATTCACCGCATTAAGTTACTTATTATACAAATACATAAATAAACATATCTTGGTATAAACCATATATCACAACATTTTTTTAACCTACATTCCAACTTTCTCTTTACCAACATCCCACTTATTATACAAATACATAAATAAACATATCTAGATACAAACGATATATCATAACATTTTCCTAACCTACATCCCAACTTTCTCCTTACCAACATCCAACTATTCATCTCTTTATCTTGTTTGGGATACATGTTAGAAAAATATTGGGACGTTAGCCTTACATATAATATTTTCTTAATATACATCCCAATATTTTCCTTATCAACGTCCTAATATTTTCCTTGTGTATATTTCAAAGTGTCCTATTTGCATGTATGTATATACAAAAATTTTACTTTTTTGAATTTTTGACTTTTACCATTTTAACTTACCAAATCATAGGTTGTTGGGAGGTAATTAAGAAGGATGTTGTTGGAGCTGTGTCTAGCTTTTTTGCTACGGGAAATTTATTATCCCGTTTGAATCATACTAATATCGTGTTAATTCCTAAGATTTCGTCGTCGACGCAGGTTAGTCATTATCGGCTAATTTCTTTGTGTAATGTTTCTTATCGTATCATTGCGAAAATTATGACTAACAGACTGAAAAGGATCATTGGCTCCATTATCAGTGCATCTCAAAGTGCTTTTGTTGCAGGTCGGCATATTACTGATAATATTTTAATTACTCATGAACTTTTGCATTATCTGAAAAATAAACGTAAAGGGAACAAGGCCTGGTTGGCATTGAAACTTAACATGAGTAAAGCTTACGATCGGATTGAATAGGATTTTTTATTTGACATGCTGTCAAGGCTGGGTTTGAATGCCCACTGGATTCAAATGCTATCTGCATGTCTTTCCACGGTTTCTTACTCTTTAAACATTAATGGGAGTTCCGTGGGCTTTTTCAAACCGTCTAGGGGTTTGCGTCAAGGAGATCCTCACCCTATTTATTTATTCTTTGTGTAGAGCCCTTTCTATTGCTATTTTGTGTGCTCAGCAAGTGAGGTTGTTATCTGGTATTTGTATTTGTCGAGGAGCGCCGTCTATTTCTCATTTGTTTTTTGCTGATGATTCTATTGTGTTTTGTGCTACTGTCTAAGCAGAAATGGATGTGTTAAAAAGTATTTTGGCAGATTATGAGCAGGCCTCTGGGCAACAAGTGAATTTTAGTAAATCATCTGTTTTTTTCTCTCGTAATACTCATAGCTCCTTGCGCCTATCTCTAAGTCACTCTTTGGGTTGCAGACGCAGGGTTTTCATAGTCGGTATCTTGGGATGCCACCGATTTTGGGTCGCTCTAAGCGGGATGTGTTCCAGTTTATTCTGACAAGAATTCAGGATATGCTATCTTTTTGGAAGGCGAAATCTATATCTACGGGTGGCAAAGAAGTATTGATTAAGGCAGTATTATATGCTTTACCTACGTATGTTATGTCTTCTTTTAAGATTCCCAGTACATTGTGTCAAGATTTGATGCGGCATATTCGGTCTTTTTGGTGGTGTAATAAGGATAAAACAAGAGCAATTCATTGGATTCACTGGGATCTTCTTTGTCAGAGTAAGAATTCGGGTGGTCTTGGCTTTCGCGATCTGGAGGCTTTTAATTTAACCCTTTTAGCCAAGCACGCCTGGCATTTTCAAGTGCAAAAGCAGGGGTTGTTATATCAGCTTTATAAAGCTAAATATTTTCCTTCTTTGTCATTTCTGGATGCTTCATTGGGCACCAACCCTTCTTGGGGTTGGCATAGTATTTGGGCTGCTCAGGGCTTGTTAAGTCAGGGAGTCCGCTCATTGATTGGGAATGGCATTTCTACACATATTTGGAAGGATCATTGGATTCTTACGCTTCCGGATAAGCTTCCTTTACCACCTGATCCTCCTCATTTTTCTTTTGTGGCTGAGTTTATTGATTTTTCTACGTCTTCGTGGAAGGTGGATGTTTTGTCTCAGTTCTTCCATCCCTGTACGGTCTAGGAAATTCTCAAAGTTCGTATCAGTAGGTGGGATAAACCGGATGAAGTCACTTGGAATCCAGAACGATCGGGTAAGTTTTCAGTTCGATCTGCTTATAAGCTAGCCATTTTAATGTCTAATTTTTCAGGGGTTACACTTCATACTGGGGACTGGTCTTATATTTGGCGGTGTCGCACTTTGTCTAAGGTGTAACATTTTCTTTGGCGTTGTTGTATGCATGCTTTGCCGGTTCGTGTTGCTTTGTTGGCCCAAGGATGTGTGGTGTCTCTGTGCCCTCGTTGTGGTTTACAGGAGGAGACTGTGGTGCATCTTCTTTTTTATTGTCCTCATTCCATTCAAGTGTGGAAGTTATCACCATTGCAACTTGATTTTTTAGGATATTCCTTTTCTTCTATTCGGGAGGGCTGGCACTTTCTGTTGCAGAAGGATATTCTCTCTTCGGAGTTTGACAATGTTCTTAGTTTAATTTCTTTTTGTTGTTGGGCTATTTGGAAGGCCAGGAATCGGTTGGTTTTTGAGGGGTCGTTATAGCAACCTGAGTTGGTGGTTCGGAGAGCGGTTGCTAGTTTTTGGGAATTTCTTGATGCTAGGAACCTTTGTTATTCTTTGAATCCTCCACCGTCTATCCCATTGGTGGATTTGTGGAGTCCTCCTCAACCTGGACGGGTTAAGTGTAATTTTGATGCTTCTTTTTGTGGGAAATCATTGCAGGGGGGTGGTGGAGTGGTTTTCTGAGATTGTCGGGGTGATGTGCTTCATGCAATTATTCTTCGCCCGTTTTATGCTTCATCATCATTGGTGGCGGAAGCGTTGGTGTGTCAGTAAGCTGTCCTTTGTGTTTTGGATTTGGGTTTTTCCTGTGTTTGGTTTGAATCCGATGCTTTAGTACTAGTGAATGCGGTGTTGCGAAGGGATACTTGTCCTTCAGAAATCGTTTCTTTATGCTTTGATATTCATCAGGACCTGCGGTGGTTTTCGTCGGCTTTTTTGACTTTTGTGCGTCGACAGGGTAATAGAGTGGCTCATGAGTTGGCAGCTCTTTCGAGGTCTGGGGTCAAATGGGATCAATTTTTATCTTCTTTACCTTCTTCTGTAGTTCCTTTTGTTGCGGTAGATGTTAGCTCTGCGAAGTTGTAGGGTTTGGTTTCCTTTTGTCTTTGTCAGGAAGAAGGAAAAAAAAAAAATCATAGGTTGTCTGTCCTCTATTGCAGGAGAGGATTTAATTCCTTACACGGACTAGAATTAGACTCGTTCATAAACCAACCACAAACCAACCATCCGTCCAATCACACGGACTGAGTTTGACATTAGTGATTTGACCTGCTCTTCATTGGACTTCGGTTCAAATCGAGCTCAGTTCGAACAATATTTGTTGGGACTCATTAAACAAACTGGCAAACCTCAAACAGCCAATAACCCAAGAAGCGAAAGCCTAAACATATTTAATTGACAATCAACATATTTTAATTGACAATAAACTCGTGCGGAGCTCAAACCCTCTTAAAAGTAAAAGAAATATCATTAAGAGTAATGTTATAAAAAGAGTGTTTTTTTTATTGTCTCTAATCTTTATTTTTCAATCTATATACATATTTTTTCTTTCAATACATTGAGTTGGTGTCGATTCTTGTAGTTTCACAACAACCAAAAGAGAAAAAATAGTATCAGAAAAATAAGAGGATTAAATATTTGGATAAAAATAAAAACACAAAAGGTTATTGAAAGAAAGTTATTAAGAAGAAAACAATAAAACAAGTGTGATTTTTATTTATTTATTTATTTTTTCACACAGCAAGAAGAGAAAAAAGAACTGTAATTAGTTTGAATGTTTAATTTTGGAATATATATATAAAAAATAAATAAATAACAATACAGAGAAATTTCTTGATCTTATAAGATTGTATAAAGTCATAAAGATGCAGTGATTCATAAAAATTTGATCACAAAATAGGAAGTTAAACGTCCTATTTTACCTATCGTTTACAACTTTCACTAATATAACTATTTTAATTCAAAGGTTGCAAAAAAAACGGTCGTCAATACTCTACAACTAAACTACAACAACCAGTAACTTATGAATAAATTTATTAAAACACAGACCTCTAATCTTATGCTCAAATTAAGTCTGTCTCAAAAAAATTAATTAAAAATCAAGCTCAAAAACTCTACTCGTCTCAGATTTTGACTGATTGACATTTGTTCAAACCAGCTAATTAAAGCTCTAAGATATTTTAGGACATGCCCTAATTGCACATGTCGACATCTGGCACTTGGAAAAAGAGAGTAACCTATAAGATGAATGAAAAAAGAGAAGGGCAATTTTATAACCAAACGCGTCGCTATTAGTTCTCAGAGAAAAAGATGAGGTAGGTGATAAGATGGATTGATTGGTTTCTTTAAGGTCCCAATTTGACACTGCAATAAGATATATAAATTATATAAAGACACCTTAAAGTACACACACTCTCTCTCTCTATCTCTCACTCACACACACACACACACACACACACACACACATATGAAGAATGGCGGACATCACTAGAACATCATCAACAACTACTTCTCTGAAAGCCATATGGTTCAATTCTAGTCCCCACTATATCCATTCTCGTACCCACCTCTTCAAATTCGTCAAATTCTTCGACTTCTTCTGATAAAACTTAAAATCACCATTACTATTTACCTTTTTGTAACTTCTCTTTGTTGTGGGTTTGCAAATGGCTGTGGCTATGGCTATGGCTTCTGCTAGTAGCTTTGGGGTTCATTACACTAATTTCAAAGCACTTGAAAAGGGTCCTTTCTCAAGAGCTGCTCTGTTTAGGACCTGGTCTGGCTTCGATCTGGTTCGCCCCCCATTATGCATTTTCACCATAGGAAGGTATGCTTGAATTCACACACACACATAAACACAAATGTGTAGTTGGGTACTTTTTTTATAATTGTTATTGTAACTGAATCAAGACAAAAATTGCATAACTTGTTAGATGGGTGTTCTTGAATTTGGGATTTGGAAATTACCCACAATTAGTCAGGAAATGTAGTAGTAATTGGTACCCAAAGGAGGTGTTATCTTTGTGGGTAAAATACTGAAATCAAGTGCGTTGCTTGTACTGTTCCTAAACAAACTGCTTAGGCTTCTGCAATTTAATCTAGTTGATGGTCCTGATCATTTAATGGGATTTGGAATGTACAAATCTATGTAGTTTGGATTCTCTGAAACTTAGCAAATCCATTGGGTTTGTTTCATTTATCAAGCATTCCAATTTTTTAGCATTTGCCTCCACTTTTGCCAATATTGTTGAAAATTTTACATACGTACACACAATCTTACAAATTATTGCAGTGAAATTGCCTGGTTTTGCATTATTTCTGTGACACATACTTGTATTATATGCTTGTAATATGGGTAATTGATCAATCTACTGCTGAGAAGATTGTTGCACAGTACATTACTTCTTCAGTTAACCATTTCTATTTCTCTCAGCTCCATTACTTAGTCGAGATTTGAAGTCCATTGTATAAGTTAATGTTAGCATTTAGGCATTGTCATGTAGCTTTTGTTGTTTTTTTTTTTTTTTGTGTGTGTGTGTGTTAATACTCTATCTGATTTGGTTGTAGATTGTCATCTTCATTAACTACATTTGTCCCCCGAGCATCATCAGCCACAGCTGTAGAGGTATTGACAAATTTTGGTCCATGTGATTGGTGTTTTAATTGGGCAATGACCAGCTGAAATCCCCTATATTGTCCATTCATTTCTTTATTTTTGATTGGTGGGGTTGGGCAGGATGGAAGTTATCGGGACACTGATAAAATTCCTACTCCTAAAGTAATTATAGACCAAGACTCAGATCCAAATGCAACAGTGGTGGAGATAACCTTTGGTGACCGCCTTGGAGCTCTTATTGACACTGTATGATACCATTTTTTTTTTAAGGATTCAAATATTTGTGATGTCTGTCTTTTACTTTTGTGATTTACAAATTAAATCACTATTTTGCATGCAACTAATGCCTACTGCTCTTAATTTGTTAGCATGTCTTATCTTGTCGTCTGGCTGTATATATATGTGTACTGCAGATGAATGCACTTAAAAACCTTGGGCTGAATGTTGTTAAGGCGAACGTCTATCTGGATTCTTCTGGAAAGCACAACAAGTTTGCCATCACTACAGCGTATGTCTTTCGGGTCTTTCATGCATTTTATATTTGTGTTAAATTCACTTCTTTTGTTGATTGGTAGTGTGCAGTTGATGATTATGATTTTACTACACTAAGTAATTCCTGCAACTGGTTCCTACCCCGAAAAAAAATATATATATTTCCTACAATCAGATAGATCCATCTCTAGGTGACTCCTATTTTCAATATTAATGAATTGCCTTTGATATAATTATTTACTCAATCTCTCCTTTTGTCTATTTTCTTGGAATTTTCTTCTTTTTATCGTATATTTTGGTTCCCGTAAGATTCCAATGCATGGGATGTAATTATCTAATGAGCAAAGCAAGGCATTTTTCTTTTACAAGTTAAAGGTAATTTAAACTAATGTTTCTTAAGACTTGAGATATTTGGATGTTCAATTAGATTTCACTGTAAAGTATGCACACACATAAAGGAACAGAGATGTTTCTGGTGATGAAAAGAAAGTAATATGCTAAAATGACATTGTGTAGGAACTTCTGGTATATGATCTGTCAATCCATCCTTTGCTCAAAATGTGTTTTACATATAAAATGTTGATTGGTTCATCGAACTGATCTCTACGTTGATTCTGATTGCTTTAGTGGTGGGGCTTGTTTGCAGCAATACTGGTAGAAAAGTTGAGGATCCGGAGTTGCTTGAGGCAATTCGTTTGACGATTATTAACAATCTGCTTGAGTATCATCCGGTATTCCTTCTTCGTTATATGTTTCTGTTCTCAATGGCAGAACCAGTTAGAGGACCCCTTATAGGACTTACCTCTTAGAAAATTCTTGAATTTATTGAATTTGTGGTCCAGGAATCAAGTGGCCAATTAGCAATGGGAGCAGCCTTTGGAGTAGAGCCTCCAAAACAGCAGGTTCTGAACCTTTTTCTTCTCTGGGAAAAAAAAAAAAACATTTATGACATTATACAGATTAAATCAATAGAAGTGGAACGTTTATTGTTGTGAGGACAAGTAATTGAGCTTATGTTTTGTTTGAGGTGAAACATTAGTTTTTATGTTTACCCTGCTAAGTTCTAAGTAGTTTAATCTGTATGTGTATGATAGGTATCAATAGCACTCGGTAACTCTCTCTCTCTCTCTGTATGTTCATGCATGAGCGTGTGCTTGTAGTATCTCCTCCCCAAACCGCCCCTCCCTGCGAGTGGGAAGAAAAAATCTTCTATTACTTTTCTACCCATATTTTACAAGTTTCTTGCTTCTAATCAAGGTATTTGTTGATACTCATGAAACAGAATATCGACTTTACCTGGTAAATTACCCATTGTTTTCAATTATTGAAAGAGCGAAGGAAACATTGTAAATGTAGATTTAGGAGCATTTGTCGGGATTTGTTTTTTGTCAAATGATTGATATGACCTAATGATGGGTCCCTATATAATGACAGACATATGTATTCACACTATATTTATCAAGGATTGGGAGCAGCATTTCTTCCTACAATACAATTGTGACATTTGTTATCCAGATATATGGTTTCCTGAATATTTTATTTTATTATTTTTATTTTTTGTGTATTTTGATATTCAAATATTTATTTATTTATTTTTGTGGTATAATTCCTCAGGTCGATGTAGACATAGCAACACACATCAATGTCTATGACGATGGCCCTGAACGAAGGTAATCTGTGGTTTGGTTTACTTCTCAACATAACTGTTTTGTCCACCAAACAATCATTGGCCCCACTGAATTTAGTAATCGTTGGGGGCCAAAGCCCCACATAATTATTTTGGTGATTGAACAAAGAATGAAACTGGCTAATAATGCATTTTGGTTGTCATATTGTAGCTTGCTTTGTGTAGAAACAGTGGATCGCCCTGGTTTACTAGTGGATCTTGTAAAGAACATCACTGACATAAACGTTACTGTTAAATCAGGAGAGTTTGATACTGAGGTAAGGATGTATTCCGTAGTGGCTATTTTCACTCTCTCCATTATTACAATTAGTAGCTTTACAAGAACTTACAAAATTTTGGTTTTGGAACTTAGGGTTTGCTTGCTAAGGCAAAGTTTCATGTGAGCTACAGGGATAAAGCGATCATCAAACCTCTTCAACAGGTAAAACAGTCTATAATAGAGCATTAGAAAACTCATTTTTATAATTTCTCAAATTCAAAATTATAGGTGTTATGGTTGAACAAATTAACATATTTTTTTTGAGGACTGAACCTGCCATCCTTAGGCCAAGCCAAAGCTTTCCGAGCTCCTTAAAAAATTAAATGAGGCTAACCGGCTTATATCACCATTACTTATCTAGAAATGTTTACAACTAGGAAGCACGAACACTTTTCTAGGTGTGTTGTGGCTGCGTTAAACATGGAACACACATGGAACACGTGTCTGACACGACATGTAAATTAGTGATTACATTCATGATAAAATCAGCAAAAATACATTTAATTTGTATCTTGATATAGTGTATTATATTGTTAATTTTTCGATACTTTCCTGCCATGTCTATATCCTTCGTTTTTTTTTTCTTTTTTTTTTTTTTTTTAAATGTCTTATCAGTACCTGAGTACCTTGTTAGTGTCCGTGCTTCTTAGGTTTATAAGTTGCGACATCTAACCCTACAAAACTTGGCAGGTGCTTGCTAATAGTTTACGATATTTCTTGAGGCGCCCATCAACTGAAGAGGCGAGTTTTTGAAACATTGTGGAAGATGACAGTATTAATGGCTATATATGGTTACAACTGATTTTGAAACTATCCACAATCAACCCATTGCCAGAGATTGTCACACGTTTATTACAATAATACTCTTTTGTTTTAAGATGTATGTATACGGACAAACACAGGCACGTGGTTTACAATATCAATCTTGTACTTTACATCATTGTAAAATTATTCACTGTTGTAGGCTTTACCAAGAAGATTGGAATGCAATTTTTTTCCTGAAATATGCAGACATCTCTTAGTTGTTTCTTGTTTCTAAGTCAATTGGTTTTGTTTTCCTTGGATGTCTTGCACAATTGTATAGGTCTATGACTCTATTCTAATTATACTCTCCTCAAATACTTGTACAAATATAATATTTTAACATCTGTGCCCATTAAAAAAGGTTAATTCAGAGGGAAATTATAAGAAATATGAAATATAATATGAATTGCATTTCTTCCATTTAAATAATGAAATACACTTTTCCTTTCTACTATCTTTCTGTTTGTGGAAGAGTTGCTATTATACCTTCTTATCCTTGATTACTAGCATGATAACAGTAAACATTAGAGGTGCAAAAAAAACACCGGATTGAAAGGTTTGGTTTAGTTTTTTCATGGTTCGATTCGGTGTCAATTTTTGTAGAACCGTTATAACCGGTCCAATCCGAACCGTGTGCATCTCTAGTAAACTTAATTTATTCCTTTATTTAATGTTACGTGTTGCGAGAATCGATTATAGCAACATTCACAGACTACTATCACAAGTCGCAATAAATATAATTTCTCTTCTTCATATTCTTTAAGAGTAATGATAGGGGAACAGAAAAGGAATCCCCGAATTGACATCGAATTTGGCGTGATTGGTCATTCTTATCATATGTTAAATAATTATTTTTTGGAAATTGTTTAAGTAGATGAGGTGGACAAAAATATGTCAGATTCGATGCTTATTCGGGATTAATTCTTCGGCTTCCCTATCATTATTCATTCTTTAATTTCTCTTCTTCATTGTGAGTCATAATTTTCAAGATGGACATTTATTTTGGACCGGAGGGATAACATATTATATGTGATGCAAATGCAACATGTACTTATTTTATAAGAGAGAGAGGCCATTATGGGGACAAGAAAGCCCTTGTGGGGACAAGGCCCAAATGGCCCAAAGCTTATTATCAAGTTAATACAGTAACAAAAAGGGCCCAATCCACACGGGCCACACTTGATGTGAACTACTGTCACAACTCAGCAAGTGAAAATTTTAAAGTGAATCCTAGTTAGCCCAAATGAAATGAGATCTTTATTTGAAAAAGATGAAGTACAAATTGCGATATTAATATGTCTAATATTTATTCATAAAGAAAAATGATTCTTAAATCGATTTTTCAAATTGATATAGACGGTGGGTGCGGTCCTTACACGGAGACAGATCAAACTTGGATTTGTCCACTGTAAGTTGTGGAATTTGGTTGGGGAAAGGGTTGATGAGGGCAATGGTCCTCGCAAATTGATTCATTTCCAACCCAACAATTAAGTTGTTTAAAAAGTGGACAACACCAACACTTTATGCCTCCACATGTAGCTTTATAGCAAAATGGGAGGTTGATCTTGCTTTCACTTAATTTTGAAATTCCATCTATGCCTCCATTGCTGTCATTTTCATTGCCTGCAAAGAGAGAGTGAGAGAGGTTATTTATGGAAGTAAAGAAAAAAAGTTGTAAAAGGAGTCCCCGACTGGTTAGGTGATTTTATCAACTTTAACTTTAAAAAACTACTATATGTTGCATTACAATATTTAAAATAAAAATTAAAAAAAATAAAAATTATGAAAATGAATCTAAATGTATGAGAAGACTCATCATGTTTTAAAAAGAGATCTAAATTAAGACAATACTTTCTCAAGCCATGATCATATAATGATTTAATATTTTAAAATTAAACAAAAAATCAAAAATATATATCTTTATATATTTTAAATTGTTCAAACCTGCAATGAATTGAAGAAATAGATTGGTCGACTATTTATTAAAAAAATAAAATTGATTCTAAAAGATTATTAGGCCGATTGAGTTGGCTTATATTATCCACATTCTCATCAAATTTTTTTCAATCAAATAAGAGAAGGAAAAATATGTGAGAAAAAATCAAATAAGAGATGGAAAAAAGAAGAAGATAAAGTTAAAGAGAATATGAAAAAGTTCAACAAATAAATTTGTATTCAATATTTAAGGCTCGTGTAAGGATAATGAAAAAAGAAAACGAAAAGAGAGGGTGAAAAAACATAAATAAATAAAAAGGTTTGAGATATGGATATAAACCTTTTAGCCCCACTATTAAATCTCTATTGATTAGGTTATAATAACTAAAGGAAATAAAATTTTCAGAGAGGTAATAATGTAAAAACAACAAAATGAAAGATAACGACACAGCCTTGGGAAATAGACATATACTCACATTCGTGAGCTGTAAAGAGAGTCAGAAGGATGAAAAAGAAGAGAATCAAATGGGTATAGCTAGTAATCGCCATATATAAAAAGAGTGATGGGGGCGGCGTTTTGGTTGTTCTAAGCTGATGATTTCTTAGTAGGGATGATAGAATTTTATATACGAAATTTGGATTCTAAGATTTGGCCAGTTGGAAAGTATCTACAATATTAATGTTCTTTTTTGTGCATATGTAAAATTATTAAATAATTTCGGATCGTGGACCTTGATCCAGTCTAATCCATAGTTTCTAATAAAAATAAAAAAATCAGGACTTTATAATTAAAAAAAAATGAACCCACATAAGTATAATAAAATAATAATAATAATAAATCTGAGATGAGGTCCAATCAAATCCAAACTCTCCAATTAAAAAAATTAAACGTACAACCCCATCTTTTTTATGCATTTATTATGATTCAAAATTAATTCTATGCATTTATTTTGTGCATATTGGTATCACACTATCACCTCTGCCTCTCAAAATGTTACCATAAAAATAAATAAATTGTATGCATTTATTTTGTCAAAGTGTTACGATAAAAATAAATAAAATTATGTAATTGTATGGTCTACATTGCTAGGTTAATAGACTTGTCTTATATAATTACTACTACGTATTATTTATCTCACTACAAAAGTGTAATATTAATGTTTTTTTTCATGTATGTGTAAAATTATTAAATTTAATGTATATATAAAATTATTAAATGGTTTCGGACCATACACCTGGTCCATCCAATCCATACTTTCTAATAAAAAAAATAGGACTCTATAATTAAAAATTGGACCCACAGAAGTATAATAACATATCACAATATATATATATATATATGAGGCCCAATAAAATCCAAACTCTCCAACTAAAAAAATTTGAAAGTACAACCCCTTTCTTTATATGCATTTATTATGATTCAAAATTAATTGTATGCATTTATTTTGTGCATATTGATCCTCTGCCTCTCAAAGGTGAGGGTGAGTGAGAGGAGAGAATTTAAGTTGGACAAATGAGTGCGAGTGTTTTTATTACGATAAAAATAAATAAAATTATGTAATTGTATGGTCTGTGTTGCTAGATTCATAGACTTGTCTTATATAATTATTATTATTTATCTTTGCAAGAAGCCACCTTCTACTTAAAAAAATAATAATAATAAAAAAAATAGAAAGAAGAAAGTACCATTGTAACAATTTCTTACATGCCTTGAACTACCACAAATTTTATTGTAAAAGATGAGTAGCAGAATATGTTTGTTTACAATTATTTTAAACATCACTTAAATATTTAAAAATGTAAAATTTAATTTCAAATAATCCACAAAAGTGTAATAATATATTATTAAAAAAAAAATCTGAGATGAGATCGGTCCAATCCAAACTCTCCAATTAAAAAATTAACTGTAATAATATATTACAAAGAAACATGAGGCGAAGTGCAATACCATCCAAAAATTATTTTTATGTATTTATTAATGTATGATGCCGATTCAAGCCCATGACTTTAAAGTATAATGAAGCAATATTGCAGTTGTGCCAAAGATTACCATTTCTATACTTTTATTACGATTTTTAAAATTACTTGTATACATTTGTTACGTAAATTGTAGTATCACTTTTAACTCTCAAAGTGAGATGTAAGAGTTCTCATTGGAGGCACATATGCACTATAATATATATTAACACAATAATGTGTATGCCTATAAATCACAATGAGGTATATACATAGACATAGGTGAATGCTTATAGAAAGAGATTGATATTTTTGTGATGAGTTAAGAGCATCTCTAACAGTATGTTAAAATACTTTTTTGTGTAAAATATACATTACTATTTATGATGTTTAAATTTTTTTCATCTCTAGCAGTCTATTAAGATAAATTGTCACATCACCAACGGGTAAAAAGATTATGTATTTTATATAACCTTTTTACACTGTCAGATCAATATATTTCATTTCTCATCCTTCTTTCTCATTCCATTAAAGAATCAACCATATATTAAGTAGGTTTGTAAAAGTTATATGGGGTCCTGGTATGACACATGGTTGGTTGTTATTGGGAGATATATTTTTATACAAAATGTATAAAACAACCGTTGTAGTTAAAATTAAATAATCCAAAATTTTTGTATAAATCCATCATAACACATCAAATTTATAAAAGAAAAAATATACACAATGGTTGGAGATGCTTTAAATAAATATATTACATATATAGCATATAAGAAAACAATTTAAAGAAAAAAACAAGGACACATATATGTGCAAATATCACAGCTCTTTCTAAAATTAATTGTATTATGTATAAAGTGGTGTCACCTCTCTCTTTCAAAATGAGAGGTGAGAGTTCAAGTCCCCACATAGATAAATAAGTGTATGAAACTTTTTGGTTACGGCCAAAATAAATAAACATATGTAATTGTATGATCGGGTCTTGTTAGATTCATAGACTTGTCTTATATAATTACTATTATTTGTCATCGAATGAAACCGACTTCTACTTTAAAAAATAAAAAAAGTAACATTGTAACACTGTCTTATATATTTTACACCATCACAAATTAAAAATGACTAGCAGAATATATTATTTTACATTTATTTTAAGCATCACTTGGATATTAAAAAAAATTAAAATTCAGTTTTAAATAGACCCGCAAAAGTTTAATAATATATTACAAAAAAAAATATGAGGTGACTATCTATACCATCCAATTAAAAAAAGTAGAGCCATAAAAATGTAATGAGATATTACAAAGGAACT